GGCACCTGCCACTACACCTGGCTATTTCTTTTGTTGCAATTGTCATTGCTGGTTAGCTGGCCCAAGCTGGGTTCCAGCCTGAATCTGCCAGCCTCTGTGTATATGGCTGGTGCCCTAACCACCGTGCTACAGGCGCTGTTTTAAGATACAACAAACCCTAGTTCATGAATATAAGTATATATACGTATATGAGATGGGAACAATTTATTACAATTTAAAGGAATTTTAGAGCTAAGATTTTTCTCCTTTCAGGTGGAGTGTAATGACATATGAACTCAAATTGCCACCAAAGGCTTCTCTACCTCCGGGAACTCCAGAAGCATCTGAAGAGTTATATGTAAGACTCAACCCGTTTTTAAAAATCATTTGAAATGGGGGGTCAATATCTTGAAGAAATGAGAGAGCTCGTAAGCTATGGTAGCAGGTATACTTAATTTTCTTTTGGGGTGTGGTCTCATTAGCTCCTTCCAGTCCTCTCCTTCTCAGAGAAGAATGCCGAAGGTCTAGGTTAGAATCCGTCGGTGCCCACCCACACGGAGAATGCCAGCTTAGCCTAGTCACTGGCCTTCCTGGGCCTCTGTTCCTTCCCCTGTATAATGAGGCTACAGAGTCGTGAGGATTAAATGACAAGTGTGTTGTAAAGCCCCAGCCATGCCATTCTCCCTGAATATTCTACCTGTTTGTTTCCTTTTTCTTAGCATGAAGACCAGCTCATGACACCTTCCTGACAGCTTTTACTCAGCTTCTGCACTGGGCAGGAGCACCCATTTGATTGTTAGGTATTAGTACAGTTCCCCTAAACAGTCTCCAGGCACACTAATACTTGTAGCCAGAATGTTATACAGCTTCTCTCTCTTAATGCTTTGCCTGGTCTTTGGAGGGAGCAGCAGGCCAGGCCTCCGGGTTAAGCCTGCTGACCCACATAAAACAAAGAAAGACAGCCCGCTTCATTCCATCCCTGCCCCTAACCACAGATGACTGAAGTTTTTAGAACTTTTTAAAGATTCTGTGTTCTGATTAAACCTTAAAGCAGTGGAGATTTAAAACAGAACCTGACTTTCAAAGGATTATTCTCTGACTCATGAAGACCATTTGATCTGTGAGAGCTTATTTTTCCCTTTAGGGAAATTTATCTGTTTATTTTACAGTTGAAACCTTTGTTTTGT